CCCCCCTCCTCGACCTGGTCATTCGCAGCTTTCTCCGTCGCCCACATCCCCTCCGCAGCCATGTCATCCAGCCATGCCTCTCTTGATGCCGCTGCGACAGAGCGCAAAGCTCGACTTGCGAAGCTTGCCGCCTTAAAGCGCAAACAGCCCGAACCAGAGCCAGTGACGGAAGCTGGGGCCGCCAACGATGAGTACGAAGATGCTGCTCCGGACGTGACCAAGCAATACCTGTCCGGCAGAAACTACGACCCGGAAACTCGTGGACCCAAGCTTGGATTCGAACAAGCCCCGAATGATGGCCAGATCACCGTGGAGGCCCAAGCTGCGGAGATTGCTAAAGCAACCGCTGAACAAGCGAAGAAAGATGCGGAGGAGGATCAGCCAATCGATCTATTCAAGCTGCAGCCGAAGAAGCCGAACTGGGATTTGAAGCGTGACCTGGACGAGAAAATGAACGTCCTGAATGTGCGAACCCAGAACGCCATCGCAAGACTGGTGCGCCAACGCATTGAAAATGCGCAGCGGGCCGCGCAAGCCAAGAGCGCAGCATTCAACAATCAAGAGGGAGAGGAAGTGGGCATTGAAGGCGAAATGTTGGTGGAGGGAATTCATGTCCGAGAAAGGGAAGAGGAGGAAGAGGAACGGAGGGAGCTGGAGGAGGACGGTTCGGCATAATCTTGATACCCTAGGAATGGTGTACAATAAGTGGTGGTACGACTCGGTTTCATCTCGTTATCTATAAGGCGCTCTTCTGCTGGGGTCAGGGGCAATAGTCGCAAGGCGTTACGGAATTTTGCATAGCAATACAGTACATTATGCTCTCAATGATTTTGCAACCCTATCATACAATGTCCCAATAATAATAATAGGAGGCTAGAACGCCAATACGCCGGCGCAAATTCCCCAATGACTTTTGCTCTATCCAAAACCCACAAGCACCCTAACGTCCCAGGTTCATTGCCTGGGTTAGTGCAATGCGCTTGCTGTAGGGACTGAGACTTCTTTCCCGCCGGGGCGGAGGAACACCCTGACCGGGGCCACGTCCGCCGCCACTGCTCACAGGCTCCGCACGGGATTGCGCCTTGCGGTGGCTTGAAGCTGGGTGGTCGCTCCCAGTCGCCAGCGAGGGACTCACCGATCTTCTGCTCTTGGCCATTCGACTGCGATCCACACTGTGGCTTCTAGACCGATCCCTTCGTCCACCATCTCGCGACATGTTCCTGGAACGTCCTCGTTCGTCTGGACTCGAAGCGCGCCGTCTCCGTCGGGTATTTCTGTCATCTGACCACTCACGCGACCTGGACCGGGAACCTCTTGCTCCCGAGGTGTAAGAAGCAACGGAGTGAGCGGAAGATGCATCACTATAGCGCCTCTTTCTGTGACCAGAAGGACGAGAGGACACTGATCTTGTCCGCTCGTTGCGGCGGGGAGGCGACCGGGAGTGCGACCGATTTGTCGAAATTGTCGATACAGAGCTTGCTGAATGTGAAGAAGCCGAGCGTGCTCGCTTTGACAGGTGAGCTGGGCTGTATAACGGTTCCACCTGGTCTAAATCTCTCTTGCGGCCTCTTTCTTCCTCATGCCTGGTCAAAGACGCATCATTAGACTCCTGCCTATTGTCTTGTTAATTTCTTTGATGACGACACAGGAGTGAAGCACGGTTGAGATCGAGGCACACTCACGTGCGTAAGGCATCCTTATAAGCATCATTCGTTAATTGCGGTCGCAGCTTTGGGTTCTGTAACTGCTGCGTGCGCGATGGGCGAGACATGTAAGGCCGCTCCTGCGCGGTGGCTTTACATTCATAGCTGTAGTGCCGTGCTAAACCACGTCAGTTTGCGACCCAAAGGCTTAAGAGCGAAACGGGTACATATCTCGTTGCAAGCATTTTTGGCACAGGGTGCTGGCTGTGGCCTTGCTAGGGCCTCTTAGCCCGGGGGCATTTCGATACCGATTCATCATCCAGATCGTCGGCCCTCGATCCGGTCGAGACTAGAGAGACTTGGCTGATATGAGATGAAGTGGAGGTACGTGACTGACCACCAAGAACGACAGGGAGGGGATTTATGTCAGCCCTTTTATTACCTCGCCTGTAGCTCACGGTCCGACCCGACTCAGATTCGAAACTAGGTATCCGTAGTATGTAAGGTTACTGTTCCAATTACTAGTATGGAATCTCAACTGCCACCAGTCTTTCCACTTTCCAGGCTTTGTCTTCCGCGGCTGATCAAGCCAACCATGTGGGCCGGAACAACATCGGGGCTAAACGCGCGGCTAAACTTGCTTGCCTGTGTGCCTGCCGCCGGCCAGTCTGTCGTTCCTTCTTCAGCCCAAAAGAATCCATCCCATACCCACTCATTCACTTTCCACACCCGCATAGTTGCGACGGACCACCACCACCACCACCACCACCACCCACTCCGGGCCACACCACACCCTTCCACAGTACTTATTTAGAGTACTGTACTATTTGTCTGTCGGCTCCGTTTAACTTGCTCTTCCAGGGCGGTTGCTTGTCTTCAAGCTCCCCCTATTCTTTATTTCTCTTGTAGGAAGATTCTCTTCTCTCCCCACTCCCTCTTCCTCCTCCCCTCTTCCTCTCTCTTCCCCAAGTCATATAAACCTTTTTTTTGACCTTCCCAAAGAAGACACGAGTCAGCTTATTGAAGAAGGCTATGGCTCGATCGTTCTGACAATCGCGTAATAATAGTCACTTTTCTCCTCAGACTGCGTTGCCGGCCATTCTCGCGTCTCCCGTCACTGGCTTTCTTCCCCTGATCGATCAGTCAGTCACCTTACTCTCCGCTTAGCCCACGAAACGGCTCTTATGTATCTTGCGCGGTTCTAACCTCAGGCAGCTTTCCTTATGGCGAATTACGTTTCCCAGAGATGTGCCGTCTTTCTTTTTGGGCTTGTGTGAAGTGGGTTCTTTGAGTGGCTCTTGATCAGTTCGAATTCCGGTTTTTTTCTATCGCCAACTCCTGAACGCGTTGAGCTCAGTCGTGCGCTTTCTCTTGTTGGGATTTCCTATTCAGCCGTTGGTTCCCCGCTCGCTCGTTTTCATCACCAAAGAAAGAAAACGTTAGGAAGAGATCCTCGGATCCGGCGGAAAGCATTCGCATGATAATGGCATCGAAAGGTTCTACGAGGGACGAGCACCGTCTCTCCTTTGCAAAGGTCGGTTCTGGTGCAACAACTAGGTTCATGCCCCGGTTCTTGCCTGACATACCCTCACAGATTGCTGCGATGCCTCCACCATTTGGACCGGTAGCTTCCATGCCATCTGACGAGCTACATGGTTCTCAGTCGATCGAAGTTCCATCATCCTCCGAACTATACTGCTCCCATGACATTCATTCTGGCCAGCTAGGCCCTAGCAACGCTCCTGATGATGCCGCTACTAGCGATCGAAACGTTGACGGTCTCTCCCAGGCTGTACAAGGCATTGATTTGTCGGAAAAGAAATATCATGATAGTCCCGATTTTTCTAGTGAGGGTCCAGAAAATGGATCATTGAAACGGGAGACATCCTTTGACGAGGATGACCGCACCCATCTGTCAAGTTCTTCGACCAAACCGACGAGTTTTGACTCGAAGAGCATGGCGTCAGTCACCACATTTGCGATGGACGAGAAGGACTCATTGCGTCCTGATGATAGTGCTAGCGTGCAAGCCATTGACGAGGAAGAGTCTCTCTCCGGACCTGCTTCTGGCGCACCCAATTCGTTGACGGGATCCGATTCCGGTGTTCGCGGGTTTAGAGACATACAACGACCGCGGGCTATACTTCAGCCGACAGGACCAGTGTATCCCGACGGCACCCAGCACAGTAACGGTGCTTTGCTTCCAGACGCAATGTCCAGCGGCTTCATCACCCCCAACTCGGAGGCCTTCCAAGCTGGACGACCCATACATGGTTTTCCGTCTGAGCCAGATGAAAAGCTTCTTGAGGCCATGAAATCCCCTAAGGATCGTCTTCTGATTCTACAGCTAGAAGAGAAGGTTCGGCATTTCATACAGAATTCCAAGTAAGTTCTTGATTGTGTCGTGGTGTCTGTACGTTGGACTCTAATCCTTGGTCAATAGGGAGCATTCACTGGAACTTCCTCCTTCCAACGCTTTTGGTAGACTCTTGGCTCATAAACTGGGCGACTACTACCATCTGACCCACTTCGTGGATAATAATGTCACGTCAGTCAGACTTCACAGAACACCTTTCTGTCGACTGTATGTTTATATTCTTCTTGCATAGTCTTTGGGCAGAACATCGCGCTAATGTCTCGTCAGGCCAACGCCCCTGTCCATCATATATGCTGCCAACAACAGCACACCGCCACCTGCCATGCCTGCCATGAAAATCATGAGACGTGCAGGCAGTGAGCGACGTTCCACCGAGGGCAGCATTGCAGCAAGCTCTGGTCATTCGAAAGATGGATCGGAAGCTGGCGACAGCGGTAACGACGGAGACCGTGGTGGTTCATCTACAGGTGCCACACCGGCGAAAGATAGACTGGCTCTTACCCGAGAGGAGCGAGAAGCCAAGTACCAGGAAGCGCGCGAGCGCATCTTCCGAGATTTCCCTGAGTCAAAGGCAGCTGCCGAAACCGCGAATGGCGACAGTAGCGCCAACATGTCGCGCTCAAGTTCAACCAGCGGTCGCAAGAAAACGCACCGACAGAAAACGCCGCATGACGACAGCTTCGAAGCTCGGTCTCAGTTCAATGCCTACTACCCTGGGATGCAGTTTGGCAACGGTTCAGTGCCGTATGGTATGGCTATGAATGATCCGTCCTTCCCAAACCAGCCCTGCATGGTTGGACCTGGAGTATCCCCACCCAGCATGGGCTATACACCTAGTGCGCAGACCGGCCCCATGTACCCAGGTCCCATGAATCAGAACACAATGCCCCATTACTCGATGCCTGTCTCTCCCCAAATGACGCCGAGTGGTCCGTGGCAAAATGGGCCTGTTCCTCAGCAGTCTCCTTACACAGGATATGCGTCTATCACTCAGTCACCGGCGATGGCGTCTACGAAATCATCACCTGCGCTTGGCAGCTACCCTATGCCTAACCCTGTACAATACCAACAGACACCTGGCTGGTCGACACCACCTTATCCTGGCGGCTATACTCTTCCGCCTCATCGCAACCATCCCCCTACCCATGCCCCGGCCGCTTGGACCAATTATCAGACCCAACCGCCTACCCCTACTTCGTATCCCTATGCTCAATATCCGGGCCAGCCAATGAGTCCTGCCATGCAGCCTCACTCAGGCTCTCACCCTATGCCTGGAAGCTTTAGTCGGTCTCCTTTCAATCCTCAAACCCGCTCGTTTGTTCCAGGTGGAGCAGCCACATTAGCACGGCACCCTGCTAAGGGCAGTCAGCACGGTATGGGCCCGTACACAGGCATGCAGCCCGGGGTCCTTCCACAGTGGAATGGCTATCAGGATATCAACAACAAGAGTCCGGATGCATTGGGGTCCGCTGGGCAGAGTCTCCCTCGCAGTATACCCTCCGGTGGACGAGACTCAATTGCCAAATGGGGAACGCCATCTCATCTTCCTCCCAAGCCACCACCGTCCGAGGTACCATCCGAATTCGACATGAAGCATCGAAATGGGCCTACCTCAACTCCACCTTTTCCAAGCAATTCGCTAAACAGCAAGAATGGCCCGCTCGTTGTTTCCGGAGGAACTATGTTACCACGAGCGAATTGACCCGTGTTCTAACTGGTACTATTGCTCGGTCGATAGACTGATTTCTACTTTCAAAAGTGCACATACTTTCTTCTCGTGGCCAAGCACGTGTGATAGGGTCTGGTGTGGCGATTCCCAATTCGGGGCAGAGTGATCAGAAGGATGGAGAGTGGGGGGCCTATTCTGGCTTGCCCGAATAGCCCATTCCCGAATTGTAGGGGGTTTGTTGCGTCTGCGGTTCGTCGATAGCGCAGACCAGGACTGGGCTTTACATGGCGCTTGGTGGGGCTTAGCTACTGACATGCGAGCATGTCACAGTAGCTTTAAAACTTGCTATATCTCATTAGATCTTGCTGGTGTGGGGATGGGCGACAGTGCTTAGACACAATAAATGTATGATTGAATCGATGCTGAAACCAGATTAGTCGCCGTTCTTAGCCTATCTCTATCGTCGTGGTAATTCCCAAGTCTGAGTACTATTGAGTGAGCTCCTTTGTTTGAATAGTATGATTTTCAGATAAGCCAAGTCAGCTAGAAATACAGTCGCAGCCAGTCACTGGTCCAGTTAGGTCGAGAAGAAAGCAGCAGCAGAGAGAAACAACATACGAAATGATATAAGGTACATAAATGAAATGGGGAAACGGAAAAAAGAACCAAACCAGAAAAGGCGGACCAGCGTCGCTGCTAACAAACCCCCACCATCACA